AAATTTAATGTAGAACACGAAAATTACATTATCTACTCAAATCAATATACAGGTAATTGAGAAATCGCTGTATTAAGTTTAAAAACATGGTTATTTTTGAAAAACATAAAATAATTTTTTGGGAAGCTAATTTTTAGACTTGGAACATTTGATATGCATCATCACACTTCATTTACTTTGTACTTACACCAAAAAAATTTTGTCACACTGAGTACAAATCACCCTGTATAGGCCTATTCCACTTCAAGCTAAAAACGAGACCATCATACTTTTTCTCCACTTACCTCGAAGCACTTGTGAGAGATGCTTTAATTATTTTTGTTTTGGGTACAAACACAATAAACATTTTAACGCGTTTCCACCCTTTTCATTTTTTCAACTTGTTGAAATATGTCACTTAAAATTGGTCACTTGATATCACACTCGCCCACCATTGCAAACAAATATTAAAATCTACTCCAACTTTATTAAAACTGTTCACCTTAATAACTTATGCATTTAAAATATTTAACTATCACTATTCTCTGTATACACTAACTTTGCGTCTGGACCCTTGACTACCTGCGACCGGGCCGGGACCGTCCCTTGCTCGCTCACTTCTTGAGCAGCTGTTTCCATAATTAGTCACCTGGTCACACCCCCAATGCACTTATTAACTTTTTGTGCGGGGCGGAATTTTACATTTTTATCTGTACGAGCAAAAAGTCCATGAATAAATAAGTAAAATGATACCAAACTTGACCATATTCTTATTAAGTTTATAGAACCTACAGGCCCAGTAGTTACTGAGGAATAGAAACTTTATTAGGGATAGAAATAAAACTGTAATATCGTTATGTATGAATTATTTTTAATTAAATCAGATGTGCACCGCGAATCTGCAAACACAAAAAAGGAATAGTGATTTATATATTTAAATTTCCTAATATTGTTAGGGGAATAAAGTTTAAGAAGTAAAAACATGTGAAACGGTTTGAGATGATGTAGTTTGTCACAACCTAATTCATATGTTTCTTTGAGTAGATGTAACCAATCACATTTAAAAAGACTATTGTAAACGTGAAACACTTTTAAACCGTACACGTAATGTTATGTGTTAAAAGGTAAAAAAACTAATCGTAAATGCGAGCGAAAGTAGAATTTGGCATGAAAAGTCGAAATTGCGTAATTTTGTACGGGCCAAATGAAACTTAAAATAATCATACAATTATCATGTTTCTAAGGATATGGCAATTGTCGATAAAAAATTACAGAATTATGTGTATGTGTTGAGTAAATGTTTTTTAGCTAATTAAATTTCTGTATAAAGCGTAGGCCTACGTTGGGCCTACCGTAGTTTTTCGGCAGATTATACATATTTCATCAATAGCATTTCAATACGCGATTAATCTAATGACGATATCCCCACGTCAGAATCGTCAGAGGTCTTAGGACGTGAATCACTCATTTCCCGGAAGACATGGGGGTTGGTTTAAAGATATAAATAACAATATCAACAGTATGCATAATATGAATATTTTACCCCCCCCCCCCCCCCCCCCCCCACCCACTCGACATATTTTTAATATGAATAACATTGTTAGGTATTTTGGTAAATTAAATTTATATACAATTATATCAACCATCAACCAGATAAAAATAATTTAAACGTAAGCTTAACTTAACGGAATATGGTCAAGTTTAGTATAATTTTTCTTAAAATTTCATGAACTTTTTGCTTGTGCAGAAAAAAAATTAAAATTCCGTCCCGCACAAAAAAGTTCATAATTGCAGTGGAGGTGCTACTAGGTGACTAGTTATGGAAACAGCTGCTCAACAGTGGGCGAGGAAGGTTTCGGCCCTGGTCCGTCCGCAGGTAGACTAGGGTTCAGACGCCAAGTTAGTGTATACAGAGAATAAAATATATATATCGACAAGACAACTAAGAAACTAACAAAAAATTAAAACCTGTCACGGTCAGATAATGAACATCGACTGAAGTGAAGACAATGTTTTGACACTTGAGATTACATATCAATCGCCAAACAAACATTCCCCCTTCCCACCCTTCGGTGCTTGGGGTGTTGTTATTGGCTCGCCCCCGGGTCCGCTGCATACCAAAGCAACTGGACTTTGACTTTCTCTTTCCCCACCCCCCACGTTGTTTGTCACAAGGGCGCTGACCTCTCACGTACGCACGCAATACGCAACCCTCACTGAACACGTAAAATAAATAACCCGTACTGGAAATACTTTTGCCTGACCAGAAAAGCTAACGATTTAAAACTAGCGAATATATTATCTATTCGTTGTCTATTAAACTAACTGAGTAGAAGTTATTTCCAGCTCTTTTCCCCTATAAAAAAGTAATTTCTGGCCATATATGGCCATATCAAAATTCCATATATGGTTTTATAAAGCCATATATGGGTTTTGATGAGCATATATGGAAGCATATATGGCCAGATGTGGTTGTATCCATATATGGTGGTGTCCATATATGGCCATATATGTAGTATATATATGGAATTATTGTTCATATATGGCCATACATGTTTTCGATATATGAAATAATTGTTCTTATATGGCCATACATGTTTTCTATATATGAAATAATTGTTCATATATGGCCATACATGTTTTCTATATATGAAATAATTGTTCATATATGGCCATACATGTTTTCTATATATGAAATTATTGCCCATATATGGCCATACATGTTTTCTACATATGAAATTATTGTTCATATATGGCCATACATGTTTTTTATATATGAAAATATTGCCCATATATGGCCATAAATATCCTCCATATATGGAATTATGGTCTATATATGGTCATATATGACTCCCAGGTATGAAATTAAATTACTCATATATGGAATAATAATTTTCCATTTATGCTCATCTATAAATGAGTTTTTGACAATAACTGGAATTATTATAAGGGATTGTTGCCACTTTAGGATTATGTAACTCTCAAACTCCCAAACACTTCTTATAATATTAAAAATCTAAAGTTTATCAGTTTGTGTATTTTCTTGTTGCTCTCCAAGCACAAACTACTTAACTGATTGAGTTGATATGTGGTACAGTAAGGGGGCAGATAATATAGGCAATTCTCCTTTAAAGTAATTATTAGTAAAGAAATAAAATATCCAGATTTGAACCCTGATGACAAAATCCTGTACATACATCTATTGTACAATTTTATTATAACGCAACAAAATCTTAAAACTGACGTATAATTTTAAAATTGTAAGTGTAGTAGGCCTAAATAAGGAGAATATTATATTAATAATTAATTAATTGTACCTTTGCTATCAAACAGCCTCAAATATCAATGTCACGTAGTTAGGCTATATTAATAATAACATTCTTCAAATGACATAAAATGTCTAAGAAAAATCTTGTTTTACGAGACCAAATACAGCTTCTCTTATTCGTAATGGGTTTTGATCATCCACATGATATGAAGCAATCGTGGTGTAGTGGCTAAGGGGGCAGACTCTCACGCCGGAGTCCCGGGTTCAATTCCCAGTCAGATGCTTAAAAATTTTGTTTTGAAATTTTTGAATTTAAAATTTTTATTATAGTTTTAATTTATAGCTTATACCATTTAAGGTAAAAATATGTTTAATTGTTATTTTTTTATTTATTTATATATTTTTTATTAAAAAATTCCATATATGGAGGATTCCATATATGATCATATATGGAGGATTCCATATATGATCATATCTGGGGGATTCCATATATGATCATATCTGGTTGTATTTGGTCCAAAACCAAATATAACCGGATAAAAAAAATTTTATATGGCCATATATAAACTTTTTCATAAGGGTTTAAAAACTAACTAATAAAACAGAAGTTAGCCAAAAAAACCAACGAATAGCGCTATTCTTAGAATTTCTATTCGTTATTCCCAAGTATGCGTAATGCACTTATGGGGGGAGGGGGTAAGGCATAGTGTTACGCTGCGTTAAATGGTGGAGGGGGGGGGGGGTTGGCTCAACGTTACGTAACGCACACATTCCTCTTTAATAATACAAAAATTATCAAATTGATATCCAAATCAGTTAGTTATATAAAAAGATACAGCAGAACCTGGAGATTATTGAATAAGACTTGTTATCAAGGTTGACTTCATAACAAGGTTTGCAATAACATGTTATTAGGAGTAAAATAAATTCTTAGGAATTTAAAAATGACACTCTGGTTATCTAGGGTGACTTGTTATCGAGGGTCTTGTTTTTGAGGTTCCAATCTACTGCATTTGTTAAGCCTACCAAACATTTTTATTATTGCCTCAATATTGTCAGTTTCCAAGGTAGGTGGGGGGAAGGGGTTTGCTCAATTGTTACGGTGTGTTACATGTGGCAGGGGGGGGGGGTTTAAAATGACAAAAAAGTGTGTTACGTAATATGTTTATATGGCCCCTTATTAGTATTTAAAGAAATCATTAAATTTACTATACAGTAGTACCCTTTTTTCATTCATTAAATTATATAATAACGTTTTGAACGAGTAGAGTTTTTTAACTCTGGAGACAAGAAAATCGGTCTTGGGCCTAGGTCTTACCTTGCCACCTAAGATTTAAAGCTACTTCCCTATAGGGTAATTCGTTAAAAATAATGGCATCCTATTAGGGTTTGAAAACTTAAATATTTTCCCCCTCTTAGTGCAAAACCTTGGAGATATGACTATAATTTCACACGTTTAGGGCATCGGCAAAGAGTTGTTTTGTCAGCAAAATAAGTGAATCAGTATCAATCAATTACCTTTATTTTGTTTTTGTTTTGGCTAGTTATAACTTAACCACAATATTTTTACCAGAAATATTCTAGTACCTTATAACATAGGCTTTATAACATTCACTCCTCTGATCATGTGAACTTTTCTGTTGGTTTACTGTGGCATTTCTGCACACTGCAGACCCAACAGAAGGGCTTCCACTGTAACTTATTACGTTCTTCCTATAGGTTTTAAGAGTTCCTTATCCTTAATTTATTTCAGATTTTCGACATCTCGCCAAACTCTGATGTGGATACCTGATTCGTTCTTCACAGCGCTTTTGAGTGGTCGAATTTCTAGCCTAAAGGATGAACATGGTGCCATTTTTATCGACAGAGATCCTCAACTTTTTGCAACTATATTAAATTATCTCCGAACAAGAGATATTGATCTAAGACATAGTGACATCAAGACACTCAGACATGAAGCCGAGTATTATGGAATTACACCATTAGTGAAGCGGTTGGTTTTATGTGAAGATTTGAATCAATCATCATGTGGAGATGTTCTCTTTTACGGTTATCTTCCTCCCCCCAGTAAGTTCTATAGTTATAGTTTAAAACATCTAGAAATTTAAGTATTTATAGAGACCAAAAATATGGCAGTATCTTAGTGTCAAAAACTTGGCAAAAGTGTTATTCCACTCAATCAGTTTTTTTTTTTATGACTTGGGAAATTAACCTTTTTTTCTTCACTCATAGGACTTTATGTGCTTAACAGTACCTAAAACATATTTTTTTAAATTCCAACTGACTTATTTTAGATTGGTCCTCACATACAATAACAGGGTTGCCACTGGCCATGAAAACCTTGAAAAGTGTGAAAAAAGGCATGGATTATGTATGCATGAATTTCTCCATTAGACCATGCATTTTCATAATCATGAATAATAATAATTCAACCAATACCACTAAACTTGTTAGTTAAAAAACATTTCATTTGTTAAAACAGTTCATAAAAACCAACACAGAAGGAATTCTGTCTGGAGATGATTATTAACAAGTTTAACGATCAGAATCCCTTATAATTGCTCAGTTTATTCAAAGTCATTTGAGGTCAGATGCTGATGTCAGCTGAGTTTTCCCAAGGACTGTATGTGGTTCAAAATATCATTTTCACCACACTATGATGTTTTTAGCTGTTTTACATACGAATTGGTGGCTGAAAGTTAGGTTTTGCTGGCCATGCCAGCTGTCATTGTCATTTGGGGACCAAGCAAGGTTTTTACATCCCTAGGGCCGCAAAATCAGCTGCCTGCTTACTTTCTTAAAACATGAATGCATGTTAAATACACAATCAGTATCCATAGCATTGAAATAAAATTTTTATATTGTCACCGCTGCCTAGCAACTATTTATTATTATTTGTTCTGATTCCTCAAACTATTTATTCACATAACCTTAAAGTTGTAGTTGTGTTGACCATCGGTGTGCATTATTGTGGTGAATAGTGGTAATAGGGTATATATAGTGTGGTGAAAAATAGCGTTCGTACCATGGACCGAAAAGATTTTGCAGCTCTCGATTGTGTTAAAAGCTATCTCGAACCGGCAAAACCTAATTTTCGGCCATAGGGACAAAATATACTATTAAATACAATTAATTATTAACAAGAACTGTATAAAACTCAATTTAATCATTTCATAATGTTAGCATTGAACTAAACAACAACATTGAATTAAACAAACATAATAATAAATAATTCTGAACATCTGTGAATCTTAATAACATATGTAACATATACTATTCCAGGTCTACCCCCGCATATGAATATTGGGGTTTGGGGACTTGAATTCCAAAATCAGGAAACGGGAAGGATATGCAATAAAACCTAATTTCGGACTTTTGACGTCTGATCTTTTATGAGGGATGTGTGATTAATAAGTTTACTGTATTTTAGGTAAGAATAAAAGAAATAGATTGAAAAATACTTCCCTGTATTTTAAGAAAGAAAACATTTTTAACACCGAGATATAGACTGTATCAATCAATAATTAACCCTTCCCGGACGGGCAAAATCGTGACATAGAACGGGACAAAATTTGGTCCAAATTGGTACCAACCAAAATTTGGATGGTAATAAATGAATTTGAACATATTATATCAAAGAGTTTTAAAAATAAATAACGTGGGGCTGATTAAGTATTACAGTACACCCCCTCTTAACCGACCCTAATGGGACCGGACCTAGGTCGGATAACTCAAAAGGTTGGTTAAAATGGGCAATCCCTAAAATCATAACATAATGAAGTGCCATTCATTTGGAATTATATAATCATAATTTTGAAGTAATACTCATACTTGCATTATTTATAAAATAAACTACTCTTATCTCCTTTTTCGTATTCCTAGAAAAGTCACAAATAAACACAAAACACGGTTAACACGTTTGCTACTGAGCGTCGCATAAATGCGACGCCGTGGTCTTTGCCACAGAGCGAGGTATACATTTGAATCTTGCACATAGACCGGCTGTCACTTGGATAACAGTACACACAGACCACGGGCTGTGAAAAAACTGGAGAAAGTGTCATTCGATTTGTAATAAAAAGGACTTTAAATAATGTGTTGCAAAATTTTGTTTTAATAGCTGGTTTTCATGGAATTTGACTTTAAACATTTTAAATGGCGGCCATTTTGTTTTTTACCTACAGTGTTCAAACGCACCATTTTCAAGAGTGCCACCATCGAAATTGTATTTCTCAAAGGTCAAACGAAGAGATTAAGACTACTCCCACACCTGCCTCATCAAGGAGCACACGGGTCCGTACATTTGACAGTGGACTATAGATTCGGCGACCTTAGAATGACATAATAGAGAAATAGATGTAGTACAGAAATCCAATATCCTTCAGAAATGGCTTAGTAAAATCACAAAACTGAGATTGCTGAGGATTCAAATAACTATTGAAATGTTCTCAATTCGTTGGTCGCTGAACCTATGACACTTGGCGGTGGGAGTAAGAAAAACAAGACACACAGAGTCATTGAGGGTCGTTGGATCAGTAACAAGTCGAAACACATACTATACAAAAAACAGTTTGACCGTTGATTATGAGTCGTGACATTCGCCGGTGGAAAGTAGTCATGGCTCAACCCCCCCCCCCCCCCAAAAAGAGGACACTCCTCTCCAAAGGGACAAACAAACAAGCCTCTCCCCCACTTCCTGAAGAGAAAATGACACTATTGACAACTCAGGTGTCTGGGGTAGGGAATGCCAAGGGACTTCCAAACTGAGGGGAAAACTCACCCCCAGGGTTTGCTCTGGCCAGAGCTGGAAAATTTACTGAGGGAAATTCCTTCGCAGATCACAGGGGACAGAAGAAGTTATCAGTTTCTCTGGCCCAGTGCACTTCCCACCAAGACACAAGAGAAAAGAAAAATTGCCTACGGAAGAGTTCCGTGTGCCCTACGGAACCCTTTTCCAGTCCGTGGATCTCCTAGCTCCGCCGTGACAGGCGTCAAAAACCTCAGGATGCGGTGGGGACCTGACCACTGATTGCACAACTTTGCAGCTCTCTTGTCCACAGCCGAACTGGCCGGATGAGCTTTACAAAACACCAAATCCCCACCTGGAAAGGGTTGTCTTACTCTACCACGATTGTGCTTCCTCCGGACCAATTCCCTAGCTCTGATCAAATTTCTCCTCGCACCAGGAGGTGACAGAAGGTCGCCAATTCCCCACACATTTGCTAAACGGGTTGTTAGGCGGATAGCCCAGAAACAGCTCGAAAGGGACCGCCTGGTGACTATAATGGTGAGCAGTATTAGTATTGAAAGGAAATTGGTGCCAGGGGAGTTCCTGATTCCAGGTGGTCTGCTTGTCAGCATGGAAAGCTATGAGAGCGAAGCGAAGATTGCGATTGATGAGAAGGCTGTGTGTGGATAGTAAGGGGAAGTAGTCACATGGCGAATTCCGTGCCCAAAGCACATTCTTTTGAACAGATTGGAAACAAACTGGGTTCCGTTGTCAGAAACAATGGTGGCGGGTATTCCGAAATGTTGGAAGAGATGCGTTCGAAGTACCTGCACGTTTAGCTGTGCAGTGGCATTCCTCAAGGGAAAAAGCCAACAAAACTTGGAGAAGGCATCCACACGAACAAGTAGGAACTTATTTCCTGACTTGCTACGTGGGAGAGGCCCTACATAGTCAATAAAAACCTTCTCCAAAGGTCTTTCTGCCACCTCAGATGACAATAAACCAAACTTAGTGTTTTGAGCAGGCTTGCTTAGCGAGCACGTTTGACAAGAACGCACCCTAGCAATAAGGTCCCGATCCATACCCTTCCAGATGAACATTTCCCTAACCTTCGCAATGGTCTTGTGGATACCTAAATGCCCACCCACAGGAGAAGATTGAAAATACTCAAAGACCATAGGGATTAGAAGACTAGGCAGCACAACTTTAGGTTTACCTCGCTGCCGAGCACGACAGCAAAGGGCACCCTGGGACAGAAAATATGGGGGATGGGCTCCCCCATTTTGAAGCTAACCAATAATCTTTGCCAGCTCGGGATCCTTCAGCTGATGGGGAATGAAATCAGAAAAAGTGAGCGAAAACTTCAAGAGCACGGCACAACCCGGTTGCTCTTGATCAGAAGGATGGTCGTCGGGTGAATGGTACATCCTAGATAGTGTGTCCGCAAACACATTCTGAGTGCCTCGAACAGGTTGCACTTGGAACTTAAGGGATGATATTTGGACAACCCAACGACCAATTTTCCCAAACTGGCGTGGATGTGCAAGAAGCCACGAGAGTACCTGGTTGTCAGTTTCCAATCACAGCATACTTCATCACAGTTCATCACAGTAAATACAATTTGGTGTCCGAACATTAGTGACATAAGTGTTTCTTGACACATTAGATGGTTTGTGACCATTTTGAAGTAAATTTGGCTTAGGTTTCTGTGCCATTGGGGCTTTTTGAATATTAGTAGCATTTCCTTTTTCTGTATACTGAGCGGCATCTAAAGCTTTGCAATGATCGGTCAAAAACTTAGCAAGTTATGAAAAGTAGGAAATTCACTGTTTGAATATGCTTTTTCAAATAACTGTCTTGTCTGTTTGTCAAACGACTAGTTTCAACACTTAGGTCATATTCATGTTGACATTTTATACAAATACAATAACAAACAATGAAAGGAATAAAAATAGTCATATGTTAACCCTTCCCGGGCTAAATAAAATGGCGGGCTGGAGCTTAATTATTTTTCACCAAAATTCAAAAACTTAAGTTGTTATTTTTTTTTATTTTATTTTTTTTTTTTTTTGCTTAAAATCATTCATAGAGCATAAACAACATTACCTTTCTACTGAAATAATTTTTTTAGACAAGTTATAAACAAAAGAAAATTTTATCTGACGGATAAATCCGTCATTGGGCCGCATGAAACGTAAGGTGGACGGATATTTCCGTCTGCCGCCCATAACGATAATATATGAACACTGCTGACCTTGGCTATTTTGTGGACGTCGGACGGATATATCCGTCCGTCCGTTTTTCCCTTGTTTTATTAGTTATCTATAACATTTAGGGTTTATTGTCCTAAAAACAGCAATATTAAAAAAATACAACATTTCAATCACGTCCACTTCAAAGTTCGGATTGTTTGTAATTAGTCATTTTAGCTAAATAAAATAAATAACGCACATAACAAACTGTAAACAAACACTTCCCAAATGAGATCGTGCCACACTGACAGTTTCGCGCGATTTACACACAACTAACGCACTCTATGGCGCGAAATAGTAGTTGAAACAGTCGCAGAAACCATTACTGCCAACCACAAAAACTAAATAACACTTAAATTATGTATTATGATGTTTATTTTCGCGTTCTAACCAATGTATAACAATTTGTTTTTCTGACGGATATATCCGTCTCTATCCCGTAAAGAAAATTTATCGCGACGGATATAACCGTTTCCCGCCCGCAACGTAAATGGAGATTGACGGATATATCCGTCCAAAGTCCGGGAAGGGTTAAGTTAATTATTATTTGTTAATGGTTGTATTATGGTAACAAAACAACAAGAAAAACCTTCCAAAATTCAAATTTGAAAATAAGTTACAGAACTAAAAATAATGCCATTTAGATGATAAAAAACAAAATTTCTAGAAGCATGTAATAACTAAATTAAAGATATGAACAAATCAGGCATTTATCAAATAAAATGTTCAGACTGTAATAAATCCTACATTGGCCAAACAAGTCGTAGCTTCAAGAAAAGGTTACAAGAACATATACAATCATTAAAATCAGGTAACATAACGACAATGAAATCAAATTAGAGCACCTAATCAAAACGCGACATGAATACAAAAATATAAATGAAAATTTAGAAATTCTAGAATATTAAAAAAATAGAACAAAATTAAATGTCAAAGAAGATTTTCATAAATACACAAATTAGAAAGATTTCCTCAAAATTTACTGAATACCATGAACATCAAGAAAACAAATCCGATCTTTGAAAAAATCCTACAGTTACAATAAAACAGAAATATTATATAATATACGCAAAACTAAACCAAGAATAAATCAAAATCCTTTAAATTCTAACTAACTTAATATATGACTATATATATTCCTTTCATTGTTTGTTATTGTATTTGTATAAAATGTCAACAACATGAATACGACCTAAGTGTTGAGACTAGTCGTTAGCTTTTAAAATCAATTTAAAAGGGTAGGCTACTAATGTTTTCAATTGCTTATATGTTTTATATATATACAAATATATATGAATTTGAACGAATGGTGTTTTCGGCCTGTAGGGACCTCAAAAGGAAAAAGTAAATCGGTCCTGGGTCCATGTCTTGCCATGAGACCTATGGTAATAGATTATTCCCTATATGGGAAATTCGCTGAAAAAACTGCCTCTTTTACATTTCTAAAATCATGAAACACTCATATTTTTTTCAAAATTATAAGTACCAGTGCATTGACCATGAATTTGTTTAACTACCAATGAAATCCATGAATTCTGAATGTATTTTTCATCCCACTAAGGTGGTAACCCTGAATAAACTAAACTACGGGCAGAAGCGCCCGCATTGGAAGCTGTTGGTTATGGAAAACTTTAAATTTGGTTTTCATAGCTAAAAACAAGGTACGAGATATTATGTAGTAGTATTTAGTAAGTGTAGCCTTACTATTATAGGTAAATAAAATAGTTAGAAGTGTGATAATTAGTTATACCTTCAGGATCGCTCCCAGGGTCACAATAACCTAGAGTGTAGGTTTTTTTGAAAACATAAATGGAAATTGCTTTTGGGTTTGCTGAGGAATCCAGACTGGATATATCCATTTTTGGTTCCCCTAAACCACAAAAAGTAGTTATAGTTAGGCCTACTTTTTCCTTTTATTTTATTGAACGAACATACAGTAGAACGTCGATTATCCGAATTAATTGGGGATTGGGGTTGTTCGGATAACTGATTTTTCGGATAACCGGTCATTGACGGGAAAAATACAGAGAACGGGAAATGACGTGAAGGGATAGCGGCCGGCGGCGATTTGCCGATTTTGCGTCTGTGGATACTGTACAATAATATAAATTTGATTAATTATAGAGATGTGCGAGTACTTGAGATTTCAAATTCGAGTCGAGTACGGCCTTGAAACTCGAGCTTATTTTTTAACTCGGCAGTTTCGAGTCGAGTTTGGTTTAAATTAGTAAAAAAATCAATATTTGTTAAAATGTAACTTTTGTTTACGTGAAATACTGGATAATATTTACTACTGTAGATTCTACAGATTTACAAATATTTTTACATTGCAGAAATAAGCAAGAGGTAGTTGTCCTAACCTATTTTTTTAGCTGCTACAACAGAATCGGTCAACTCAAAGCAGTCGCCGGCGACTGACTAGTGACTGGCAATGAAAAGCAATAGAAGGGAGGGAGGGGTTGTGCAATGACCTCGAAGTGAGCGGGCGTAACACTGAATGAAGTAGGGGTTTGGGGGGAAGGGGGAGGGTCAGACCTTTGAGCTATATTTACACTTTCACCACTTAGCAGCCGTGCGGTGGCGTAGCGCTACGGCCAGTCGTGATTGGCGCGCGATTTTATTGATTTTTGCTTCTTTCTTCCTTTCGGTTAACCGACGTTTCGGATGACCGGGCTTCGGATAATCGACGTTCTACTGTAGTTACTTGGCAACCCACTAGGCCATAAATATTGGTTATCTATTTTGTTATTATATAATGTATCCGATGGATTTCTTTTTTAGATTCATTCATACTCTTGTATATTTGTGAATAAAGTATATTTGGATTGATAGAGTTCAATGTGTTTTTGTGCAGGCATCCCCATCCAAGAGCCAGTAACGGGGTCGACTCCTGATGACGCTACAGCCCGTCCAATGCCTCGTGAGAGTCCTGCGTACTTGCCTGGCGCACACACACATGCTCGCGGTCACGCACACTCTCGCAACTCCTCACTAGACATGCGTGTGGGCAGTAGGAGCTCCTCGGACATACGCAACATCCCCGGACGTGGGTGTCACTCGAGAGCTGCTTCCTTAGACTTGCGACACACTAGAAACTCTTCAGCCGACCTCAACAAGCTCATACGTAACGACTTGGGACTGGTGTTCGGTGGCAACCAAGGTAAAGCTTGTCACTTGATTGCTTGATTGTTAGGATAGTAAAAAATAGGCTATGAAAGCAATTAGGCTACTCTAAAAATTCCTTTATCAATTTCTATGTGAAAAAAATCAAGTTGCCACCAGTGTTATACAATATAAAGGAGTATTTTAAAATCTTGTGAATTGCAAATTATGAAATAAAGTTTATCAACAGGAACCTTATAATTTGTTACAAAATATAATTTGTTATAATTACGTACAAAAAGGGGCTGTCAAATGCTCAACATTTTTATGTGAAGATTATCAGCATTTTTTTGTATGGTAGCAACTTTCTCAACTTGAAAAAAGTTTATCCAAAACCTACAACATGCACACTGTTCAGCAGTGGAGTCTTGATTAAATCCTATCTTGGGTTATGGGACCTTCTGTTTTATACAACTGTTAATACTGTTAATACTGTTCAATGAAATGGCGACCATACAAAGTAGGTATTTTAAGCCAAGTATGAATGGAGATGAGTGTAGGATGAGTGGCGCAATCTTGTAGTCTTGTTAGTGACTAAGGCCGACATTCCTTAGCCATACAGCTGTTAATTATAGCTCATACAGCTAATGGCAACTAAGACACCTACAGTTTATTGTGTAATCCGAACCACATTTTTTTTGCCTTGGTATATACTAGGGATGGACGAGATTGGATTTTTAGTTCGAGACGAGACGAGACGAGATTTTTCATTTCTCATAAAATTTCGAGACGAGATCGAGACGGGATTTCCCTTCTCATACACAACGGGAAATGCACGTTCGGAATTTTTACCTGATTTTGTAACATTGTTAGATGACTGTTTAAATACAAAAATAATGATAATAGGCAAGAATATTTACAATCTTTTATTAAAAAAACATCAGCATAACATTTCTTTATTAATCACGCCTAAATTATTAAAAATGCCTACGATTAGGAAACATAGTGATATCAGTTAGGATAGAGTTCAACTTATCCTAAAATAAAATATTAATTTGTATAAAATAGCTACTTGTTTTGACTTTTTTGTAGTAATAAAACATTCCTCACACTGCTAACACTTAACAAAACTTCTCAAATTGTATTAAAATAATTAAAGTAATATTTACATTTGAAGAATTAATTAAATAAGAACGCCTTCGCAAAGGAAACGCAACTACAACACGCTCCTGTATTGCGGGTATTGCATTGACTTTCTGCAGGCGTTTTTAATTTTTTTTTTTTTTTTTTTTTTTTAATTCTTGTCTCGATAAAAATCTCGGCCAAAAAGAAATCTCGTCTCGTGTAACGAGATTTAAAATTTCCCGAAATTTCGAGACTTGACCATCCCTAGTATATACGAATTGGTTCTAATTATCAGGATAGTACTGCGGATAGTCGTAGTACTGACCCGTGCGGACGTTAATCCACACCAGGGAGTATCGCATCCACAGTGCATTCCTATAATTATCCACAATTCGTGACCTCGTAGTAGCTGGATTACAGGACGACGCCACCCGTCCCATTCTAAGACAACCCTCTCTGTGTAATGATCAAGTACCAAAAAGTTGTTTGTCATTTCCATGAGGCATGACTGTACACTGTAGCGGGTATGTTGAGACAAATATGTTGCTGCCCCTGTCTATATTGGGGAGATATAAAGGGCCAAAGGCTTTGTCACCTTATCTTATCAATTATCAATCAATTATATGACTTATTTAAGATCTTGATAATACTTACTGATTGTAGTTAGTGCACTACAAACATTACTCAATTTACCAACTTCTCATACCTGCACACTTTACCTAATATCAAGAACACCTTCTGCCGTAATTTTTTTTATATAACAGAGGGCCAGGCTATGCACCCACATTCACAGGTCCTCATTCTCCGTCAAATCCCAGGTTCTTAGTTAACCATGAGATCCTTTTGACTATGGTACCCTGTTCTTCCCTTTGATCTCCTCTCAATAGGCCAAGAGACCTCATACGCAGACCTTGTAGGGCTGGGCACAAAAATATCATGTGAAAGGGTGTCTCCTCCTTACCACATGTTCTACATAAGAAGCTTTCAACTTGAATTCCCATTGCATTTTCTTGGTCCACCAGACTACCGAGCCATACACCATCATCGGTCTTGCAACCCTAGTGTATAGCCAGTTAGTCATTTGTGGGCTTAGACCCCATGTCTTCCCAACAGCCTATCTCATCAACATAAGAATGGTCTGAGAGCCTTGCGTTACATGTGCCAAATGGCTGTTCCAGGTGAGCTTGTCGTCTAGCCTTATTCCTAGGCACTTGAACTCCCTCTTAACCTGGATCTGATTACCGAAGAGAGTTGGTACTTTAGCGATGTCAACGTTTCTCTTCCTTGTACACTAGACCCTCTCTAATTCAGCACTGCACCACTCCGGCACTCCAGTATTCCGGCGTCTTTTGATGCCTGAGGTCTTCCGGGATCGCGGCAAAATTATGATTATCTCTCTCAGCCGTGTAGACATCATCATCCACTCCCGCGGTCACGGAAACGTCATCATTGTCTTTTGCGATAGCGGCAAAGTCTAGAATATTCAAATCTAGCAGATTCAAGCTGCTAGATAGTTGAGTTGTATTGGTTTGTTCTAAAGTGCTCTATTTTATTAATGAAATATTGTGTTACCTATTTAAGTTTTAAAAGAAGTAAAAGTAATTAATATTGATACAAGAGCAGTTTTTTACAAGTGTTTCTGTATAACCATTTCAAGAAGACAGTAAATATAGACTTAATAATATGTTAAATAGTTCTACTTACTTATTGGATGCAAATTGACACATGTTTTCAGCCATAGTTTCAAACTACTTTTATTCCTAAATTAAGAGCATCCACAAGAAGCAAATCATTTTATATCATTGCAAATTATATTTGGAATAATAATTAAAACAGTTTGATTATTTGATTTATATACAAGAACAAAGATTTGATTTATAACAAAGAACACAAAAAATGTATCACGACCGTCGATAGTTTTTGTGACAATAATAATTAGGAATGAACTAAATTAACAACATTTTATTTAAACATGTCTTTTGTAAGAAGTCTATAACAATAACAATTTTTGTTTGCATCTCATCATAATAATCTAAATAAAACACATGTTTTATTTGCAGACTTTATGAAACATCCCCCTCCTTAAAGATCGAGTCTCCTTGGAGGATGTACTTCACGCCCGTGTCTAGTCTTGTAACTTGAGTTTACATCTCGAGGTTTTGGACTTCTGGTACAGACACCTTGTTGAATTTCGTTCCGTCACATTGTCTGGTGAGGGTGTTCTTTTTAAGTTATCGGGAAATGGTAGAAGATGGAAACGGTTTCTTCTTAGGTCTCTTGTATCAGTTCTGACAATATATGATCGTGGCTCAGTTCCTGTTTTTACAACCGTTCCAGGTTTTCCCAAGTCAGATATCCAAACGCTGTCTCCAGATTTCAAACTTCCAAGAGATTTGGCAGCATGCCTGGAGTCATAATTTCTCTTGTACTCTTCTCTGTAATTCCTCGAAGTCGAAGGCACACTTCGGACAATTTGTAGAAGGTTAAGTTTTTCAATGGCTAATTTACCTAGGAGCGGTTTTTTACATTTTTCTGCTACATAAAAACGCTCGAAACAAGATTTGTTCTTATAGCCCAACCTTACATTTACCATCCCGCGTACAGCTAACTGAGTCCCATCCGGTCCTGAGAGTCTTTTACAAGTATGTTTCAATGGAACTTTTTTGTTTAGCTTGATATTAGCTGGCAAAACTGAAACGTCTGCTCCGGCATCGATTTTAAACTTACCAATGTCAGGATCATTAAACCTGAGGTCAATTTCCCAAGATTCAGGGTTTAGAGCACCGTTTTCGGTAATTTTACCTATGATTTCTTCAGAATTTGATGATTTTGTACAATATTGATTAACAAACTGAGGTTCACTACTGACTTCATTAACCTTTTGCTTAGAACAAACTTTAGTGAAGTGATCGTTTTTTTTACAGTTGTTACACCGAACATTTTTGGCAGGACACAAACCTCGACGATGGGATGGAGTATTCCCACACCATTTACATAGGTTTCCTGGATTGTATTTTCCATGGTTATTAGAAACAGTTTTCTTACAAAAAGACTTTTTGGAAGTGATGTTTAATTTTACCCGATCATAGGAGGGATCAGCTAGGTCTAGTGTTTGCCTAACTAATGCCTCTGAACTACGAAGAGCGTCAACTGCAGTTTCTAATTTTAGTGAGCTTTGTAACTGTAAGCGATCACTAAGGTTTTGATCATTCATTCCAACGATAAGTTGCATGAGAATAATTTCATCCCATAAATCTCCCCAGTTGCATGGTTTTGCAAGAGTATGTAAGTCCGGGATGAAGTTTTCAGCTGACTCTGAGGATCCCTGTTTTCGTCTAAGAAATTTAGCACGCTGATAAATTATGTTTGTTTTGGGAACGAAATGGTTATCGAATTTCCCCATAATCACTTCATAATTTTCCAACTCGTCAGGGCTTAGATTAAAGGAATCAAATATTTCCTCAGCCTTATACCCCATACAGTAGCAAAGAATATCAACTTGCCTTTTCCCAGGTGCTTTATTTAGATCGCTGACTGACCTGTACCTTTCAAAGCGTTTCTTCCACACACTCCAATCATAGGGGTTGAAGGAAAAATTGTCTGGAGGCTTGACATGGATTTGATTTCTTTGAAGTGTGTTCTCTTCAATTTCCTGTTGGATCTGTAGGTTTACATCACTCTGCGCCATGTATCACGACTTAACATTTTATTTAAACATGTCTTTTGTAAGAAGTCAATTATCAATTATCAATTATCAATTAGTTAAGATGGGGACGCCACTATGTGCGTATTTTAACCCAAATATGAGTGAAGGATGAGTGTAGGATGAGTGGCGCGATCTTGTAGTCTTGTTAGTGACTAAGGCCGACATATTCCTTAGACACAGCTGTTAATTAATAGCCCATACAGCTAATGGCAACTAAGGGACCTACA